CGTATTTTCAAAAATGTTTGTGAGCGTATAAAAGGGCTTGGCAATTAGTTGTATGACTTCCAATGCGTTTTTTGTGTCCTCTTCAAACCGCGGTCAGAACTTCCTTGCATTTTTTGTCTTGTTCCACACAGCAAATACAGTCGATTCGGAAAAATGGGATAAAATAGGGTTGGACAAGGGACTATGGACCCTCCCTATTACAGCTGACGTTGTGTTAACCTTCAAGGGGGTTATAGCCAGTCTTATGTTTGGGGTTATGATTAAGCTTAGTGTTGGGCAGGCTGGGGTGCGGAGGGTTAGTGTTGGGGTAATGGACAGGGGTTAAGATAGGATACAAAAATAGGTATCCCTTGGAATTCGGTCTAAGCTCCCCCGTAGTACGGGGGAATCACGATTTTCGTACCCAACCAAAATGCATACTATTGCTGATGAAAGTTGAACTAGAGCTACACGGAGGATTACCTCCCTATCAGCAGACGGTCTGTGCAACCTACTTGTGCAGCCGACAACTTAAATCCTTTATTTTCCCGCCGGCAGATCATGTGCTTGGAGGTGGACGACGAGCAGAAGCATTTGAGTTGCGTTTTCGGACAGCTCGTTAGACTAGGCTGGGGTTATGCAGCTACGTAAAAGTGTAGAATACAACTGACTTCGCAATGAAGACATTTTTTCGGAAGAAGATGGATCCACCTGGAAGTTATCAACACGGTATCGGTTGATTTCGAGATGGATCATCCTAGTGCACTGAATTTGTCGCTCTAAAGACTCAGTTAATATATTCAGAAGAATTTTGATAACAGACTGAAGGCAACGAAGATAGATGAAGAGGACAAACATGAATTTTATGCTAAACAGTCTGCGCAGTACCGCCCTCTCGTAACCTTAACCCTAACCCTAAACCCAAAACCAAGCCTAAACGGTAATCTAAACCTTAATTCTAACCGGGACAAGCGGACTTAACGCATGCCCCCTCCGTAAACACAATTCGCAGCCTCTTCGGCTTGGAGTATTGAAGGATAAAACGTCTAATTAATTAATTATTTGGGATACTGTGAAATCAATCACGTTGCCCCAGCTCCCCTCTCAGCTGTTTGCAGTGGTTAGCGTAGTGGGTGGTAGTGTTTGGCATCTACTGTTATCCTATGCTTACAATTTCCATTCCTCTCCGCAAACCAAGTAAACCTTGCTATTATACACTTGCCCTATTTGTGTCGATTCGTCATCTGCGTTGCCCGCGTCCTGGAGTAATTTCAGACCCATCTCCTGGTCGGCCATCGCCTTCACGCACACCAGGCAGAATGGCCTTGACCACGTGTTGTCACTTACGATTGGCTGGTTGGACCCCTAACGTGTTGTCACCATTTGCGCTCTAGTTTCACCTCATTCAATGTTTTGTTGCACACTTCATTAGCTCATTTTCTTCACTGCAATTTCAGAGCCGTCTCACTGAATGTCCGATTGCCCCACCCGTTAAACCACTTTTGCTACCCTTCCCGTAGTGCAGGCCACCGGGGTTCAGCCATTTTAGGTGCGGCTGAAAGACCCTATCTAACACAGCCATATCTAAGTAATAGAGGGCACAAGGTGCGTAGTATTTACAGGCCGCAGTTGCTAGGTCACCACGTAGCCACCATATGTGGCAGTGTTCGTATTTATCGCTGGGAGTCGGATTCGATACGATAACTACATACTGGTCCGCACCCGTGTCGTTAATGGCCGTGACTTCATCCCCGTTGTCCGTTCTGGGTGTCACGATTACTCAGCATATGGCTCGCTGTTACTGTGACTGTTTGTCACCTGAACCCTCAGCGCGTGGCTAGTAATTGAGAGAGAGATACGCTTTATTTTGGAATTATCATACCAAAATTTTCAACAGAAATGCCTCCATTCACAGCGCATTAAAGTGCAAGCAAAGACAACACCAAAAGATCACAAGCGATAACTGCCGAAAACTGCAACTGCTCAAATCATAAAGAATGGTCCGTGAATGATTTGCAAAATTTGCATCAGATTTGACTTCCTTCAATATGGAACTAGTGTAGTACACGAATAACCCTATAATTGTAGGTCAGATAAACAAGTAAAATAGGTCGGTGGATTTACATACAAGAGAATTCCCATGTAAATGGAGAGCAGAAGAAAATGACAACTTAATTTCCAATGTCCCGCGCAGGCAAAATCGCAGCATAAAATATGGAGGTGGAAGTTCATTGCGCTTGCTGTTTGAGTGCAGGCAGGAGGACCATGACACAAGCAGCTCACAGATCACGCGATTGTCACCTCTAGGAGGATTTCGGCCTTTTGAAGCTTGAAGGTGTGGCCGGGTCCCGTCGAACGGGCCACGATCTGGGAGTTAGCGTCGATCCTCCTCAATGCTGCTGCCTACTCGGCCATTCGCGCTCGGATAGTCTCCCAGTTTCACTGATGTATTTACCTTGTCCGCAACTGCATTCGATCCCGTGAACGACTACAGACGTTTCTTGCCGTTGCAGGGGGTCTTTCGACCCCGGCTGCGAGTGGTTCGAAGATGTGGCTAACGGCGTCCTTGACCCTGTACCTATCCCACTCCTCTCAGACGTAAATGTTCTCCTTATCAATTTCTGTCCTGTCGCGCAAATTGGTTTAGTTTGACATCCTCAAATACTCCTTTCTCTTCGTTTTCTCTGGTGACGGGTTGGTGTTGCCAACTTAAGTATTCACGCGTACAGCTGAGTATTTTCAGAAGAGCATTCTGCCTTCATGAAAATATCTCGGAATGCATAATGCCGCCGCTTTTCAACAAATTTCTTTGACGAATGGCCATGCCGTACTTCCGACATACGTACTAGCTAAAAGCTCAGACATAAGCTTGGCCGATGTTTCTGCTGTTGCATGAGACATCTGAGAGGTGTTCGGCTCCTCAATGGGTCCCCCGAGAGAAATGTATACTGCAAAAAGGCGACTGTGCTCTAGCGCAGTTTACGCTGTTGGCTGACAAGATTCTCAGCTGCACGCGAACATTTTGGCATTTAAGGAGAAGCACAAGAGCGTATTCCATGTCGCCATTAGAACACTACTTATACAAGCCCTGTTGCGCGGAATATAGCTCAGCGGTTATTGTTTGCTAATTATGTTACGTGTGTATTCGTATAAACTTACTTCCAGGTGACCCGGAGTGTGTGTATAAAGAAGCTCTAAACCCTGGACAAATGACTCTGCAAATTGAATAAACAGGTACTCAGACCGCAAAATGTTATGAGCATTTGCAGAGTGAACGATAAAATGTCTCCGATTCCAAAATGTTCTACAGTACCGGGTGATCACATGCTCTCCTTCGCGCCGCAAAAAGTAAAACTATAGTTGTTTGCAGATTCTGTAAAGTTTTTTAAGATTTCAAGATCGAAACTCTATTCTTCCATCTCTGCCTGAGATCAGAAGAACGGTGTGACATTTCCAAAAAATGGTTACATGCAGCCGTAACTATTGTTAGCCGCAATACACGTTTCCATTCAGAATAATTTACAATTACCGCAAGCCTATTTTTGAAGTTTCGCAGGACAATTCGTTTAGTTTTTTATCCTAAAAACCATGGGGATGCTCAAATGTCCTTATTATTTTAAGACACCCTTTCAGCTGGCTTTGCACTGTAATTCAATGAAATTCACAAAAAATTATTAAAACCTTTTAGTTACATAATAACAATTACTCCGTCCTACGCATTGGCGCTTTGCTAAAACAAATCTAATTTGGACGGATTTCGGTGAGAAACACATGTAAGCAAGCAGGGCTTTGAATGGAAATAATCTAATCCCCAAATGAAGAGAATTCTCCTCAATGTGGATGCAATTTGACAAATCTCACCGATGCTTACGTAGGCATTTTGTTGGCCTTCCTACAAAACTTATTTTTTCCTTCGGATGCGTTCTCAGTAGTCTGATATGCTATCCGGACAGAAGGCACTAGAGCCCAGTGGTTGTGTAGCGAATATTAATCTGCACTCTTTAAAGGCGTTCTGACACATCCAAAGACGACTTGCTATTATCTACAAGCAGGCTAAGTCGTAAGATCCGTCCAGAAATGAGATAGAGGCTCACTACCGCAAAAAAACGTGAATTTCTGTCTAGTCGGAGTTACTAAGCTTGACTCGGATCTCGTGACCAAATAACGTTGTGTTAAAGTCTGTCTGCCTGCCAAAGATAATGCAGAATAAGTAATCTCCCCTCGCGGTATGTATCAGTTTAATTCCCACAATACTAGTGAGAATCCTCTTCAAGGATGCAAAGTTACTGTGCAGTTACAATCTGTCTGACAACCGCTGATAATCTTGCGGGTTACTTTGGAGCAAAACGGCCATGAAAGTGAGCAGTAGTCGTCCCGTAATGGTAAATACCTTTGTGCAGTTCTTACATCAGTCCTTATTTAGTGTGCTTTTTAACCTAAAATTAGTGGTGGTGTGCGTTGAGGCAATACCTTCAGACGATTTACCTGGAAGACGACCGGGCAAATTGAGTAAAAGTTAGAAGGACGTCTCGGTTTTCGTTAGGAAGAACAATATGCACCCGGAAGCTCTAGAACAAGTGAGAATTCAGCGCTTTAAGTTGTAATCGAATTGGCATAATAAGCAAACCACAATAACATCTTCCACTGTGTCTGCACACCCCTTATTAATAAATTTTCAGAGCTGGCGCAAAAGCTTCCCCCTTCTAAAATGGTAGCGCAGTATAGGAGACACTCCTAATTACTAGTCACCATGCGTCTACCTGTGTCTGTTAATGACCCTTAACTCATAGAAAAAGCGATACTGCTCTTTTTATCCGTGCAACCAAGATATATCGGCGTGCACCATTCTCATATGACTAAATACACCCGATCTCAGTCAACATGCTTTTGACCCTCGAGTTCAGTATTGAGATCGTAGCTGAGTGACCAACTGACTCGGGCTTCGAATGTCAAGTGGACAGGCGGGAATGGGCTGCACGAGGGTATGTAAGCAGGAAATACCTACTTCAACATCACTGGCTTTAGCAGCACAACTTTCCTTCATCTGAAGTCTCCTCCTCCTCCTCCTTCTCCTCCTCCTCCTTCTTCTCCTCTTCCTCCTCGGTATCTGCCAGCTATTTAAGTGCCATTTAGTTTTAACTTCAGAATCCTGGATTCCCACATATTCTAACCTGATAAATGAGTTTGCTTTTGAGTACAATTTAATAAAGTTTACAAGACAGGCTTCATAAATGTTTGGTTTCTAAGGTTACCACTCACTGTAAACACTGGCTATGCCGCGTGAGGACGTTTATCAAACGGGTTCAGTGATAATGAGGCATTGCAGAAAAATTCAGGTAATATATGTCGTTAGTGCGACATACTTGTGTGGAGTCGCGTTTAACTTTTACTGCGGATACCTTCGTATTGACTCTAATGAATGCTGTAAGTAAAAGATTTAGTGCCGTATGCTAGGAACGTTCTGTGTGGTGTCAGAACTTGCGTTTTGAATTACAGAACGTCAGTAACGACAATGGGAGAATGTTTTATGAACATCAGAGATAAGTTTAACAGGCTAGATAAAGCTGGCAACATCTGCCATATGTCACGAGTTCATGTTTTGTCTAACTGCCTTATTAATTCGGAAAAAAAGTATCATGCATGTGCGAAAACGCAGCAGGTAGGCAACAGGGTAACTAAGGAGAACTGGCACTTCTGTCTAGCCATCGTAAGAGTCATTTTCAGAGCAAATGTAAAACAGTTCTGCAGTCTGAGAGGAACTCGATCAGTTGGTACACCAAACATCCCCCCACGACCAACGAGGCGCACAGGCAAATCCAATTTCGAGACATTGACCGCCGATTGTCCTTGACGCACTTTTCTTTTCTTCGCCTATCTTTCATGATAAAATCCAGTCAAAAAACTTGTCTTGACTAGTAACCATACGTCACATTGCCGAAATTCAACCAAAGAAATTAGCCGTTCATCACACAATATGCACGATGTGGATATGTTTACGAGTTTTAAAGGAACAATTACCCGTGCCTTGTACAGGAATGACAGTTAGTGCATGCTGTTCCAACGAGTGAACAACCAGAAGCCTCAGAAAGATGCAAGTCTGGAAAACGAAGTGCTGCAAAGAAGACAAAGGCACAATCGCTGGGATGGTAGCGCTACTAGAATGAGCTCTCGAACTCAAACAGTTCGTCATCCTAGACTATTGAAGTGCAACAATGCGTGAACATTTATAGTCGTTTAAAAGACAGCGAAGGCACGATCACTGGGACGGTAGATTTATTGGTCTTAACTTTCGAACTCGAACAGGAGTTCATCATCAGAGACTGATAGAGTGCAGCATCGTGTGAACATTTATACCGTTGTGCCGTGAGGGAAGGATTACGCTCGTAGGTAGGTCTGGTTTGTGCTCCACAATGGTTCCCCGGCGTGGTGACGCCATTTGCACTTTGCGGCGATGTGAGCTGTACCAATTGGCTGCGTGGGCGGAGCGCGTGATAACACGGGGCAAATCGATGTGTCTGTTGATAGAGTTGGTGTCCGACACCCACGCCTTCAACAGCTCTCGCCCCGTCTTGTTGCCGGCTCGCGCCAACATCCGCGTGTTGGCGAATTCGAACTCATGGCCTTCCTCCAGCGTGCGAGTGGCAACTTGAGGTAGTGGGTCGCCTCTCCGAACGGTCCGTTCGCGCTCAATCATTGGTGAACTGAGACGTCGTACCGTGAGGAGGGGTGGAGGGTTTAGGTCCGTGGCTGGGTCCGTCTTGCGCCGCCTGGTCTGCAATGGTCTCACGGCGTGGTGGTGCTTGGCCTTGGCGGCGACGTGAACCGCGCAACCTGGCTGAGTGGGCGTAGCACGTGACAACACGGTGATAACATATCTTTGATGGAGTTGCTGTCTTACACCCACGCCTCAAACAGCCCCCGCCCGTCATGTTGCCGGACCGCATGCTGGAGAAGTCAAATTCAGCGTGGTATGGACGACTTCAGAAAGTGGGGCGCCTCTCAGAAAGGCCCGTTTTTGCTCGAGTATTCACGAGCTGAGGCGTCGTCCTGTTTAGCCAGTATAATGACTAGAGCAGTTGTGACATGCGATTTTATAAACTACACTGGACTGATCAAATGCGTCCAGTCGGTCCTTCACCTTCTTGATTTTGATCTGTATGATAGCCACGGATGATGAGCGATGCCCACGCCTAACTCTACCGCAACTGCAATAGCCTCAAGGGCAACAACCAATGAGGCTAAACATACTGTGCGCCAGAAGATCACCTATCTTCTTATGACGAACAGGCGCGCTGGCAACATCTCGTCGGCAGAAAGAGAAGGAGTGAAGAAATTAAAAAGAGACAGCGATATTCTAGTGCTACCGGCTGACAAAGGAAGAGCGTAGTCGTGATGAAGGTACAAGCTTCCCTAGACGACCAACAGTTATACAAGCCCACACCTTCCTCGCGGAATAAATCGGCGATGAGCCAGCTGACTGGACTCCTAGGCCGATTTAGACACAGTATAATCTTGCTCGACGAATGGCGACAGACGAAGCCAACCGACAGAGCACTGTCCAGGTTCCATGAACTACTCAAAACCCACAAACTCAACGTTTTCTTTCGGCTTTTCACTGTCATGAAAGTCAGCCCTGCACGCAAGCTAACCAAAGATATGGTCCGAAAACTCAGCTTTCTCCGAGACGGCTCTGGAACTTCAATCAAATTGGCCTCCAAATTCATTGTCGACAGTCGGAGAAACAAGTCGACCCGACCAATTTATGTTATCCTTCAATTTCATCTCACTATTCACATCCATTCTGCCAGACTTGGCGTGTGATGTGCAACGCAAATGACTTGAAGATAAGAACAACGAAACCATGGAGCTCATGGAAATCCAGTACCCAACGCAATCCTTTGCAGTCTGCCAAGGAATCTTTTTCACCTTCAACGGCAGAACATATGAAGAAGTCAAAGAAACACCCATGGGTGCCCCAACATCCAGCCTCGTAACACGAATGGTCCCAGAAGAAGTGGAAAAAGTTTATTTCAACAACGTTGAACCTGCGTTTAGGCGTCAATACGTGGACGGTACATTCGTCATTATTGAGGCGGACGGGCTATCGGGTTTTCAAGACCTGCCTAATGGCACCATCCTGCCATTCACTTTACGAGAGAAGAAGGGGTGACCTAGAAATTACCTTCTCAAAGAATTTCATCAGGAGCTGGATAGGTGCATCATACTTTACCACAAAAATCTCTGTCCCAGCATTACACTGCTGCACCGGTGTGCGGTTAGCCGGTTACATTCAGAGTATCTGCCGTTGTCTTGTCTACTGTCATTGGAACCTTGCAGGATTTTAGTCTGTCTTGGTTGGACATGCTGATTAGTGCAAATCCTGCGTTGTGGGACGTGGACTCCCGGCTCTGATGGCGGCATATTGTTTGCCGTGGTTAATCTAGAGAAAGACAATTTACTTCAGCCGTGTGCTTTCCTTGACAATATCCATTGTGGCACCACTAAGTGCTTGGTTTCCATCCAGTTCCCGCACTATTTTTATTCAAGTATAACGGTTAATACAACTTTGACATGAGGGTTTGGTTTGCAAAATTCCGAAAAGAGAATACTTAAGTCATAATCGCTTAAAATTATTTACAGAGGGCAGAATTTGGCCAAGGAGAAATCCTTCTGCTTTGACTGACGGGAAATCCACTGGTCTTAATTATTGCTGTATAACGGTGCAAGACAATCAGAATGAACGAATTTGGGCTGTAGTCAATGTCTAGCTGTCTGAATTGATATGTCAAAACTGGTTTGCTTCTTTTAGAGAGGATGTGCGTTTCTTTAAACTGCCGACTTGTTTTGACAGTGTCGACATTTTTGTTTTTATAAAAAGTAGTTTGTTTTGACCAGAATGACAGAATAAACCAGGATTAGACGTCTTTGCCAATGACAATGCGCTGCAAACATTATAAAAATAGTTTTTCCACGTTTCTGCCCCACATATCATCCGATTTGGCATTATGTTCAGGCTCCAGTGCGGAGTCTCCGAGACAAGTCATGTGGTAGAATTTTTTGATGTTCTCATAGTTCATCTGTGATGTTGGCGCTATTGATTCTCGTTCATCCTTCTCATCGTCATCATTCTTATTCCACCGCACAGCACCGAAGTTAGCATAATGCATGTGATATTTTATGATGGGGCGGTGACGATAATCACGCAAAATGTACTGGATATTCCCTCTCAAGATATCCGAATGTGTGCCTTCAAACTACTTGTTATATTGTAATGTCAAAGATATCAATCATGAGCCTTATTAAATAAAGGTTAGCTAAATGAATTCAGTTTGATAAAGCCAGTGTGCGTCAGAAAAGTACTAATTCAGTGTTGCAAGCAAACAGTAAACAATTTAAAAGGATATTTATTCCTATAAAACGACTATTATTTCTGATTACACACCTAACCTCTAAATGCGCACATTCGATCTTCTAACTTTTGTGATAGAGTGACGTGTTTCACCAGTAAAAGAGGTTAAGGATTATTCCACGCTAAAGGTTGCGAGGTTGTATCCTCATTTAAAATGACAAGGAATAGGTAATGGTGCGACTGACGGTTCGAACTACCTGGAGCCAGGTGGCTTGGTTATCCCTCCAACTGAAATTCGGCGTCGTCTTTGCGCACTATCCTAGAATAATCCTTGTATAAGCCCATCATCCGGCCTGTCATCTACGAAGAGAAGGCGCCATTACGTGTAAACGCGAAAACCATTGCCATCGCAGACCTTCGACTAACGTTGTCTGCTAATTATTTTAGTCTACGTATACATGAGGTAATTTATAATATTAACATTGTAAAGTACAGTGGACACATTTTACATAACTGCCTTAATGAATGCTCAAAGATCATCCGCCAATCTCCTTAAAGACGTCTAAATGGTATGTGGATTACGGAAGTTTGGCGTAGTTTAGGAAATTGTCTTTTCGAAAAGCACGTTCACGGAATCGAAATGATCATTGTCAATAAGCAGTGAGACAAAGTAAGGTTAAAATCAAATAAATAAATGAGAATTACAGTCGTAAAAGCAGTTTTTAATAACCAACTGTTTGAAGCGTTCAAACACTTTGTGCAATATTTGACCATTTACGGGGCATCCTAGATTCTAATGCCTTTCTACTAAAACAGAGGCTTCACATAAACTTGACGTAAGGATATTATAGCCCATTACGTGCATAAACAAAGAGCGCATGGGAACTTAGGAAGCTTTCACCATCTTTTTACTTCAATGATTTCAACTGAATAAAGTCACTTAACTGGATGACTAAATAAAGAACACGCTTCTTGTTTTTTTGACCTGTATTTTCACGACGACCTATTCGATGGATGCTCATTGTACTCAAGTTAACTCTTTCCAGCCATTTTCCTAACTACGTAGAGTTTTGACAAAAATGCTATGATGGTTAACTTACATTTTCTTAAATACGATTAGGACACTACTGGCAGTTTTACTAATTAAGGGATTCATCATTGTAACACAACCATTATCCTTTAATACACTAACTTCGGCCGAAAATTGATGTGGTGTAGAGGACGTACGATTCTAAAAATTTCGTATCCAGACGCAAGCGTCATATGCGTTTGTCAGCAAACCACCATAGATGCAGCATTACAGAATCATCTAGCAGGGTTGCCCGATACTAAAATAATCATTCCCCCACCATGTAGGTTAACCCAGTATTCACTGTTAGAAGAGGAAAGTTCAAATCTGGATCTATAGTTTATACATCTGCACCTCAAAGTCTCTAGCATAAAAAACAACCATTTGTTGATCGTAGGCTATGTAAAAGGCAACTACCGGACTTTGCAGCAAACAGGAAGCGAAAATTAACGAAACGTGCTCTCTGCATGCCCACCTCAAAGGACATCGTTAATTCGCCTATTTAATCGGCAGATACTTTTGACCACGTCGCAAGCAGTTGAGACGACGGCAATAATAAAACAGATCCCTATATGTAGCATGCATTGCCTTTCAATAAAGGTATCTCAGAGGTCAACCAATTTACCGCCTAAGTCACTACGTTGGGCGTTGCGCAACGACCAATGGCCGTTCTGTACGGCGAAAGGGTGGGCACAAAGCCCAGGAAGACATTCGAGTGCCATCTACTATATTTTTTGCTCCGATCGTTCCTTCATCTAAAAATGCTAAACAGGACGAAGACTTACGGTAATGTTGCACGAACATCAGAGGGAAACTCGAGATATGGTCCATCATCACTGTCCGGGACGAAATCACGCCTTTCTCTTTTCTGCCACGTTGATAGGTGGACAAATCGCCAGCAGGACCTCGGAACTAGAAATTCAGTTATGCTGCGAGATTGCAGCCATGCCACATAGTTGGCGAACTTTACGGTGTCTGACAGAGTAGGCCACAAAGTTTAAAGATCAAAGTGACTGGCCAGTTTAAAAATTTTAATGCGTGCTCTGTCGTCATTCTATGTCTTTGAAGATTGGCGGTAAGTTTAAAAGAGTGAATTTTGTTTGGAGCAATTTTTCCCCTGTGTGAATGTAAAACAGGCATTTACAGCAGAATTTTTGGTACCAACAAATTTTTTCGACGGTTAATCAACTGTAGTGCAGCTAGGGCACTGACGACTAAAGAACACATGGCTGTCCTAGCTAAACTACACCATTATGAACAGATAATATTTTCTAAGCCAGCAGAGGCCATGAAGTTGTCACTACTAGTCGGAGAAACGATGTACCGAAAATGGAATCTATTTTAAACGATCCTAATAAATTTCATCAAGAAACATCAGGAGAATATGAAAAGAAGTCAGTGGGAGACTCTGCCTGGATACAAGCCAAACGCCCGTTGTACAAAAATCTGATCGATGCTCAAACTGCGGTACCCCTAAAACCGAAGGTTAAATGTTTTCCCTGACTATATGGATTATCAAAATGCAT